GCATTTCATCTGAATGGAGGGAGGTGTCCAGTGGGGTGCCACAGGGCTTGGTTCTGGGCCCGGTACTTTTCAATATTTTTATAAATGATCTGGATGAGGGTGTGTGTAGGCCAAATATTTCCAGGAGAGTTTTAAAAAGATAATTACAATTCAATCCATAGAAGAGCTACACCCTTTTAAGACCATGGGAGGGGCTGTGGCTCAGTGGTAGAACATCTGCTTGGCACTCAGAAGGTCCCAGGTTCAATCCCCAGCCTCTTCAATTTTAAAAAAAAAAAGATCTGGCATTAGTCTGTCTGTGGCCTTGGAGAGCTGCTGCCAGTCTGAGTAGACAATACTGACTCTGATGGACCAAGGGTCTGATTCAGAATAAGGCAGTTTCATCGGTTTACCATTGACCTCAAAGTAGCTCTGCTTAGGGTTGCACTGTTACTGGCCTAAATTTATATAGAAAGATCTTAAAACCAAATTTTAAATGAAGGCCAATTTCCGAAATGCAGGAAGTATGAACACTGAGTTTGATGGTGTATCGTAAAATCCAGGTGTACCTATGCATGTGATTGGAAGTTTCAAAGCAAAAATGTCAAACACTATGGTCTCAGTCCAGCCGTTTGGCCCACAACAGCCAACACTTGAGCATGGGAAACTTGATAATCTAGAAACAGGCTTCCATGGTGGCTCACTTTTGCTGGATCAGGCCCAGTGATTCTGGCTCTTGCAGCTAAAGATAAAAGAGTCATCTTTTGGCATTATGTGCATAGCCGTTTGTTTTATTTTTTTTAAAAAAAGCAAATACAGCTGCTCTCTGACAAAGATTTCTTCAGGTTTTATTTTTAAATTGTTGCTTTGTACAAACATGTTTTTCATCTGTCATCTTTTTTCCCCTCACATGTGAGTCACAGTGATAAACATACAGATTCTCTAAAATGTGCATGTTCATAACCCAATGCAAAGTCAATAGACACCATCTTATTTACAAGTGTGGGCATTCTGAACTCTAATACATGTGTGCAATCTCATGAAAAAAAGAGGTTTTATGCATTACACATTGGAAATGATTGCCCTCTAAACTCACAATCTATTTTATTCATACACATACATACATATGTATTTTTTAAAACCCATGGGTAGGGTTAAATTAATTTTTTTTGCTTGTTTAAGGACCTCAATCTAAACTCATTCATTTGGAAGTTCCATTGACTGAAGCCCCAAAAACCATGCCTCAGTACAACATGGCCAAAGTTGCACTTTGGCACGCCTCCTGAAGTCCACCACACTTCCATGTGTTTAGACAGCAAAGGGATGGAAAGAGTTGTAGCTCTACGGTGTGCCTCAAATACCACATGTCATACAATAAGTGTTATCTGATCTCTGACACTGTGAGGGATGGTTGTGGGGAAAGCATGTACAAGAACCATTTTGGTTTTTTAGAAAATAACCATTTGGACATTTTAAAAAGTGGGCTTTTAAAAAAAACAGTAAGGCACCACTGGGAAGAAACCATTTTGCTTTCTGCTGCTTTGACGCTGTGCATAATGAAATAAATACTTTAACCTAAATATCTGTAATAAAATGATACGATGAACATAAAAATGCTTTTAAAAAATATATCTGCTGAAAAAGAGAGAGAGTGAGAGATGCTGTATACTACCCAACGTAAACAGGTCCTATTTTCTTTTTTTCTCCTCTGAAATATTTTCTGACAATGTTTTTTAACATGTACTCTGAGGAATTCCTATTGGAGAGAAAGTGCTCAAACGTCATCCTCTGAGGAAAAAGAGAAGCGCTCATCGCGTTGCTCTCTGAAGGCCGCTCAACATCCTAAAAGCTAAGGCTTTGGTTAGAATTTCAGATAATATTGCACTGGAATTAAAAAGTCCCCAGTAGTACAACCAGTCAACAGTGGAAAATAAAACTAAATCTGATTTTCCAAGTGCCACAGGAATGGATATTCCACCAGCGGAATTAACTGTATACGTTCCTTCTACTTTCTTTCTTTGCCCTTCACGTCTGCCTTCTCCCCTCCATGTCAGACGTTCCAGCTGCCTGGCTGAAGAACACAGCTTCAAAACTTGATTCACCCAAGAACTGATCCAGTGGAAGCATCAACAAGGGAGTAAACAGGGATATGAAGAGGGCCTTTGACATGTCTGCTTAAGAGTGCCTTGGCATTTCTCAAAAGGTTCTCATGCGTAACTGATGCCCCAACAGAACCAGTGTCTACATAAGTTGGTAAAATTCTGAAGTTGTTGAATGGGCTGTACACCCTTTAGACAACAGGTGGGAAAGGGGGCATTTTAAATGCTTCTCCGTGTAAAAAAATAAAGAGATGAGAGAGGTTCTTGTCTAGCCCTTCCCGTGTGTCACTAAGTTCTCCACGGATGAGTATGAAGAATCTAGAACTTTGAAACGTACAGAGAGAAATCTTAAGGAGAACTTCTCAGAAGCCAGTCCTGTTTTAGCCAGTGAGGCTTACTCCAAAAAAACTGCTCTTAGGATTGTGCCCACTATACCTCACCTGCAGTGTTCCCTCTAAGCTGAGTTAGTGTGAGCTAGCTCACAGTTTTTTAGCCTCCGGCTCAGACATTTTTGTCTTAGCTCAGGAAGGATGGCTCCAGAGCAAATTAATTTATGCAGTAGCCAAATTGCTTGCTCACAACTTTAATGCCAGTAGCTCACAAAGCAGAATTTTTGCTTACAAGACTCCACAGCTTAGAGGGAGCATTGCTCACCTGCTGTATGAAGTGACAAAACAGTCCAGTCTACCATCTACCCCGATCACGGAAGCTAAGCAGGGTCGGACCTGGCTAGTATTTGGATGGGAGACCTCCAAGGAATACCAGGGTCGTGATGTGAAGGCAGGCAATGGCAAACCATCTCTGAATGTCTCTTGCCTCAAAAAACCTACAGGGTTGCCATAAGTTTATAAATCTTTATTTTCATTTCCCCGGGTTGCCATAAGTTAGCTGTGACTTGATGTCACTTTCCCCCACCACACCGTCTATGTTTCCACTGTTTCTCCATTCTACTGCACATGCAGAATGGACCTTAAGAGGTCAACTGGAAGCACTGCCACCAGTAGCAGAAAGGACTTTGGGTTCCTTTCCACTGTCTTCACTGATGCATTCAAAGATAGAACTTTATCTTAAGCAACGTACACAAAACACACAGTTGCTGGAGCATATTTTGAAATAAAAATCTCCTCTCTAACTATTTGATATTTATCTGCTCTTCAGGAAATGTCTAAGTGCTCCAGTCTTAACGAAACAGAAGCGGCAGAACAAAGTTGGAGTCCAGTGGCACCTTGAAGACTAACAAAGCTTTATTAAAGGTATACGCTTTTGTGTGCACACACCCCTCTTCAGATACATCGAAATGGAAGTTAGCAGTAAAGGGTGAGCAGCAAATTAGCATACAACCTAATGAAGATGTTTAACCAATCTGTTAAACATGATTATGTTGCATGCTAATTTACTGTTCATACTCCAGCTATATGTATGGACTGGTAACTTCCACTTCACTGTGTCTGAGGAAGTGAGTGTGCACACAAAAGCTTATACCTTGAATAAAACATTGTTGGTCTTAAAGGTGCCTTTGGACTCGACCTTTGGTCTGCTGCTTCCGATCAACCCAGCTAGCTACCTGAATCTAACCAAATACAAGTAGTTATTGTTGTTTTTAAAATCTTGCTGTGTTTGTTTTTTTTAAAAGCACAAACCTACATTCAAGGGTGACTGGACTAAAATATGGAAATAATACTGGATACATCAAGCTTGTTATGTGCGTTGGGGAAGAGCCATAGTCCACCAAAAATATAATATTGTCATGAACTGTGCAAGAGCCTGAGTGTTGTCACTATACTGATATTTGTGTAAGAAATAAACACAGATCAGATATGTTGTTTCTACAAAACCTGAATGGGTAGAATTTTTGGATTTCCTGAATGTCATCTTCCGTAAGGATTCCACTCTAAGAAAGAGCCTATGGAACACATTTCCACATTCAACTCTCCAAATGGCCAACCAGCAGTGATATTCTTTGGCCAAAAATTAGGCACAAAAAAGCTTTATACATGCATTTGTGTACCCATATGCTGAACACACTAGGCTACTTTTCTCCTCTCATCTTCTCTACATACCAAACTCCAACCTACTTTGTGTTCATCAAAGGGAACACACATGGTCTAAAGGAAGGGACGAAAACCCTTGGGGCCCAAGCCGAACAGGTTCAGACCATTTACCTCAGAACACGGGACGCTCCACCCAAGCGACCGAGGTGAGACCCCCATGGTGCAAACAGGTACCGCTGGGAATGGCAGCCAGGGAGAAGGCAATGGACAATGATTTATGCCCATCACTGTGCCTCAGACTCACACAATGGCTGGCCTGACAAGTTCCTGAGGTACTGGCAGTAACACTGGGGCTCGGCCTGTTCCCAGTATGTTTGGCCAAGTACAGCCCACATTTCTCCTCCCGCAGCTCTCAAACACCTTTGTTCTCTGGCACACCAACCGTCTCACAGGTAGACACCATGTTTTCTGTCAGCGCTTGAGTTAAAAAGATTGTGTACCTCACTCATACAAAGCACCACTTTGGTTATTTCTGAATTCTCTTCTTCCACGATACAGACGTTTTCTTGTGCCTCTCTAAATTACTAGCTGTTCTTTCACAACTCAGCTGTTGTGAAATGCCACCCCTGGATTCTTGTCCCTTTTGAATTCCCTCACTTCATGACTTCAGCAAAAAAGGGATGTCCAATATGCATTATTAAAAATGGCAGACAATACAAAAGAGACATTCCTCAGGAATCATTCTTGAGAACTTTCTTACCTAAGCAGTAATTCTATTCATCAAACATATTCCAAACAACCACAGTCCTCTTACGGATCCCTTTTCTCTTGCCGAATAAACCATATCAGTTGGACCCAAACTGAATGAACTGAACACTGGTTGGAACACTTAACTCGCATTTACTACCTGTCACAATGCAAAAATGTGTAACCAAGAAATACTTTCCTATAGCTTTTCAGGAGAAACCCCCCCCCAGTTTTTCAAAAGCAACTGAATGTTATAGAAAAGCCGGTGTGCCAAACTAGCCAGTTGTTTTGTACCCTAAAAGAAACTCAAATGGGAGTTTGTACTAGTCAACGGAACATGTCTGCCCTTTGGACGTATCCTGCTTGTATCTGGAGGCTTGATGCTGCACAAAAACCAGAACCAAAAACAAACCCAAACGTTCATAGTTAAAACAGTTTCAGCTGTATCAAGAGACAGCTAACAGACTGGGGGTAGAGAGACTTGTATACAATAAGAGATACCAATATGCTTTAGCTCATTTGGAGGGGGGGATATTTTCTCTAGTGCTGCCCAAAGTAGACAACTTTGCAGTAATCCACTATGCAAAACACCCAGAGCTGTGGGTTAGACACACCCCAGAGGGAAAGGATAATTCAATTGCATTACCGTTAGCAAAACGAGGAAATGGCCTCCAAGAAATCACATCAGAACTATTATATTCTAGCACCCAATCCAATGGAGGATGTACAGAGCTACCTCGGCTATGTAGCTAAAACTTGGTTGAAACTTAAAATCACAGTGGGAAAAGAGCAAATCCTGAGCAGCCAACTGTCCACGTTTTAGTTTAATTTTTTTTTAATAAAAAAGCACTCCTCAAACAACCAAAGCTGTTAGATCAGAGAGGAAAACAGTGTGCACACAAATAAGTAGGTGAATCCATCATTCTTCATTCAGCTGGGGAATATTTGATCAGAAACCTTGTTTCTTTTCTCTTGGCGCCTCAATCTGAAACAGCACTGGTATTTCTGGTGGGTTCTTGAAAGCTCTTGCCAGTGTTCCTAAGCAACCCTTTCCTTTGGTCTCTGAAAGGCTGGAACTTGTTCCAGATTTGGTAGTTTGCCTGAGAGAATAAGGCCATGGAATTGTCCCCCCCCCACCACCACTGAGATGGAATGCTTGGACCTCCGCACCACCTAGCTTTACCATCATCAAACGGATGTGATCCAACTGATCAGCAAGCTAACCCAGGATGTACTGTAGGAGTACATGGTGAGCCACATAGAGTGTGCGTAGGAAACTGAAGGGCATTGGTCTCTGGACAGCACACCCATTTCTGGCTGGATGCGATATAGGTTCATAAACTATGCAATATTACTGACCTTTGCGGTAAAAAAAACACCTGTCTTGCTCTCATTGATACTGCAAAGACTATGAACAGGACTGGACTCTTGAGTGCATAGAGGTAAATAGACCCTGTTATGTCTTTTGGAACTTTGCAAGAGAGGTATAATCTACCCCACCGTGATCATAAGCCCTTGATCAGAGCAAGGTTCCATTGATTTAGAAGTAAAAAATTATTCAGAAAATGTGGTTAAGGATCACAAGTCTGTGATTCTATAGCTGATAAACTAATGTGGAAATCCAAAGCAAGGACTTTCAGTCTCATTTAAATTGGGCTGGAATGAAGGGAATTAATTTGGACCGGGATTCTGCCATTTTAAAACGCAGTAAGGAGTCAGGGACTTCTCTCCAGAGGGAAGGAAAATGCTGATGGAGAGGTGGTCTTCTGACAAAACGCTGAATGCAAGGAGAGGTTCAAGAGATGTCGGAGAACGGTCACCCTGAAGGTCTCACTTCACCTCGGAATAGGTGGAAGAGGAGGGGCCCCTCTTTCTCGGCGGCTGGATCCACCTAAAGGATAAAAGAGGGGGGGGGGAATCAGATTAATTTTATTGTGCTGATGTCACTCCTCTTGCCTCATTGAGGCATGGCCAGGTCCGGTACAGAGGTCTTGAGACACAAAACGTCGGGCCGCCAGTTGGGCCCCCACTGTAATTTTAAAAGTAAAAAGAAAAGGCTCTGAAATTGTGCCACATCCTCATGGGGGACTCAGGGAAGCAGTATAGTTTGGCTCAGTATGTTTGCCCCCACAGTCGGGATAATGAGACAGACAACAGTTTGGATCAAACAAGGGCCACTTTATTAACTATATAACAGTTTATTAACCCAACAATGGCAAGGGAGCATTATCTCAGTAGCGGAACAGACAAGGCAGGCGTCAGGCTGACCGGCCTCCTTGTCTAATACGTGGGCGAGCCACCAATCCCGATCTTGAGCCATTAATCTGGCTTGCGACCAGCAGCCCAGCCACTGGTAGCCTCCCAGGAGCGCCTACCCCTGAAACCATACAGCTTGCAGAGAGCAGCTTTACCCAAGAGGTTCCCAGAGGGAGTCATCATTCACCACCCTGGGCCTTAATAACCCGCAGGCCGTTCCTGTGCAGCGGCAAACCAGCCCCCGATCGCCATTGCCTTTGACGGGCGATCGGGAGCTCCCATCTCTCCACAGAAGTCTTCAGGACTGTCATTGGAGCCTGGCTTCAAGCTATAGTCCTCAAGCTGTTTATTACCAATGGAAGGGGGTTACCGGGATGACCTAAATGGATAGTGAGCAGTGGCAAGTGACTCAAAGCTACTCACAAATCAGTCCACAACAGGGCCCAGGACTACTCCTCTTCACAGTCTGTAGTACATCCATTTTGGTTTCTGCATCACTTTACAACACATGGCATTTATCCAGCCTTTCTGTGATGTGTTTAAAGCACTTTCTATAGTTCTCTCCCTGTAACTATCTAAGACATCACCATCAAGTGTCTTTTTAACATAAAGACTTACTTCTGTTGTCATTCCTTCCCAGTTTACTGGGGTAGTTCTTGTTCATGGGCACATATGGTTCTGGAGGTGGCAAGTCAGACAGAGGATGGAAGGAAAACCGGCTCTCCCACTCATCTGTTTAAAAACAAGAAGCTTTTTAAAAAGTTGTCTGTAAATACCCATTACAGATGTCATGCCACATGGGTCTCAGGAAGCCTCCCTCGAAATATCAGACTATACAGCCTGTAAGCCAACTACTTTTAGTTGAATTGAAAACAAATCAGCCAGTATCATAATGCCCCTGTATAAATCGATGGTACATCCTAATTTGGAGTACTGTGTACAGTTCTGGTCACCACACCTCAAAAAGGATATTATAGCATTGGGAAAAGTACAGAAAAGGGCAACTAGAATGATAAAAGGGTTGGAACACTTTCCCTATGAAGAAAGCGCTTGGGCCTCTTTAGCTTGGAGAAACGACGGCTGAGGGGTGACATGATCGAGGTTTATAAGATAATGCATGGGATAGAGCAGGTTGGGAAAGAGGTACTTTTCTCCCTTGGGCATTCCATGAAATTGCTGAGCGGTCAGGTTAGAACAGATAAAAGGAAGTACTTCTTCACCCAAAGAGTGATTAACACATGGAATTCACTGCCACAGGAGGTGGTGGCAGCTACAAGCATGGACAGCTTCAAGAGGGAAGCCATTGGCCTGATCCAACATTGGCTTCTCTTATGTTCTTATGTTCTCCTTGCAGACCCTTCTCTATCTGTGGACCTTCCCAATCAGAATAGGTGTTGCTCTTAAATGGTTCCCTTGGGAAATGCGATGCCATTAGTCAGCATCTAACGGTACTTTTCATATTGTTACAGCACATCTAACTGAAATGACTCCTGTGTGTCTTCCATACCCCTCTTAAACCCATTTGCCTACCCTTGCAAAACAAAACCTCAAACCCCAAATGGGCCTTTTCATGGATCCAAACATTGGAAATATTGGGCATGTCTGGAATTGGATATGGTTCAGAGGCCAGGGGTTCCTGTAGTGCAGGTATTGGTAGAAGGAACACAGAAGGTTTTTTCCCCCTCTCTTCCACAGCCTGCAATGGGAAATCCTTACCCATGCTAGTATGTCCTGTTTCACTTGTACCCTACCAGAATAAGTATTAATTAATAAACTTGATAAGCATCTGTTACCACAATCCTGAAAAACATTCACAGGCTAAAATATATTTTAGAAACCCATTCAATGTTGTGAACAAGTTGAAAAGAGTTCATGCACAAGGATGAAGAAATACATTTCAGTGCCCAGACCTGGATAGCCCAGGCAAGGCTGATCTCGTCCAATCTCAGAAGCGAAGCAGGGTTGACTCTGGCAAGTACTTGGATGGGAGACCTCCTTGGAATACCAGGAGTCGGGAGGCAGGGGCAGGCTTTATTCAGCCACCTCTCTGAACATCCTCCAGGCCCCCAGTAGGGGTCGGTCACCAGAGGTCGCCATGACTCCCAGGAGCACATACACACACACATGCAGTGCTCCCTCTAAGCTGTGGAGTCTTGTGAGCAAAAATTCTACTTTGTGAGCCACTGGCATTAAGGTAGTGAGTGAGCTATTTGGCTACTGCATAAATCAGCTTGCTCTGAGCTAAGACAAAAATGTGTGAGCCAGAGGCTAAAAAACTGAGCTAGCTCACACTAACTCAGCTTAGAGGGAACACTGCTCACATGCACATATGGAAAATACAAAAAAAAATACTCCCCCAAAAGAAAGAAATACAGTTCAGAGAACACTGTAATTGTTGTACTAATAGAGAATAATAAAAGCTCACAATGTTCATTCCACGGTTACGATTGTTGTGCAGTCTCAGAGGGTAGCCATGTTGGTCTGCAGCAGAACGGCTAGATGGAAGTCCAGTACTGACCAGATTCTCGAGGTATAAGTTTTCAAGAGTCAAAATTAGGGCTGCCAAGTCCCCCCGGGGGGCGGGGAAACCCCCGCCCTAGAGGCCCGTTCCCCGCCGCCGGCAGATCGGGCCCCGGGGGGAACCCCAGCCCGGCGTGCGCGTCACCAGGAAGTGACATTATGACGCCGGATGCGCTGGGGGCAGGGCCACGGTCATCGACGGGAGTCCCCCGCTCCCGACGATTTTCGACTCGGCAACCCTAGTCAAAATCCCCTTCATCGAATACAGTATATGACGAAGGGAGCTTTCACTTTTGAAAGCTCATACCCTGAAAATCTTGTAGATCTCTAAGGTGCGACTGGACTCAAATTCCCGCGCAGTGTAATTTCTGTAAGTGGATATCCCAGGGAAGTGGATTATCTCCATCGGTTCTTCTCTCTTTCAGAGTAACAACTACTCACCATCATATGAAGAATCTTGGAACCCATTTCGGAGAGCTGACGATGAAGGGGGAGGCGGAGGGGGAGGCGGGGCGCCACCCCCGGGCCTGTCCGGAGGGGGTGGCGGCACTGGCCCACTTCGGAGTTTATCAAATGCTCCTCGGGAAGGTAGCTGTGGAGTAGTTGGCAGTGCCCGTGAAGTGCTACCATTTCTGCTGATTGGCGGTGGAGGAGGAAGGGGTCCTGAAGCAGAGAGATGTAAGAACAACAGCAAATTAAACAAGAGGGTTTTATATGGAGAGAAATGAAGCAGGAATCACAATTAGATCTCTGAATGGATTCCCTGCCCAGTTTTTATTGGTAAAACAGCAAATGCTGGGTATGCGTTTGATGTTTGGATCAGGGCCATAGCATAGCGGACGGCGGTAACCCTCTACCCTGTTTGTTTCCCGGCTTCTAATGTTTCTCCAGAGCTGTTACTGGTGGCCCAGCAACAGAAATAAAATTGTCACTGCAAACCTCTCTGAAGACCCTGGCAGGGCAGTTCCTTCTATATCAGAAGTCTGCAGCTATACAGTTTTCTGGAAACGTATGCCTCTGAAATATTTACAATAGGCAGTTACTTCTACATTAGTAGTCTGAAGCTATACAGGTTTCTGGAACCTGATGCCTTTGAAATACTTAGAATAGTAATTTTCTTGAGGAAGACTATCGAAACGAAGTCTTCAATATCCGGATTCTTTGTGGGAAAGTACTACTTTATGGAATATTTCATTGTGTATCAGAAGATTCATATTTAGTATCATTGTGCTTTACGGTGCAAGGATTATATTCATGTACTGCACACATTGTATCTGCCCAATATATTAACATTGTTACTAGTTCTATTGTGTCCTGCTTCACAGCCTTTCCCCATTGTTGTTGCCACAGGATGGATATGTGGCACGCATGTACACAAAATCACATAGGCCAGTCTTACAGGCAGAGGTCATTTTGGGGGGGATCGCGGGGGATCGCAGTTCCCCCGGGTGAGGTACGGGGGGCGGGGCACATGACAAAGCCCCACCCCCCGCTTCCGGCTGCCCCGCTTCCGGCCCTCATTCAGCCAGAAGGAGGCAGGAGAAGAGGGAGGGTAAGTTGCTTCCTCCCTGCCTCTCCCCACCACTGCCTGCCTGGGGCCAGGGAGGGCCTTGGCGGGGCTTCCTCGCACTCCCGCCGGCCTTGCAGGTCCACCGCCGGGCCCTGATGTCAGGGGGTGTGGCATATGCTAATGAGTTATGCTAATGAGTTCCCCTAGCTCTTTTTCTATGAAACGACCCCTGCTTACAGGACACAAAACACCAGTGTAGATGCCCCAACTTACACATTCCTTCCCCTAAGCAGCAACAAGGCCACTCGTCACAAGGGACTTTTAAAAGTATAAACTGAGGCCAAGTCTTCAAACCCTTATGTTATACCTCCACATCAGCTCACTTAAATGGTGTTTTACTGGACGATCAAATACATGAAGCCTTACCTGACCTACTGGGCGGGTCTCTTACAGGAGGAGGAGGCCTCTCATTTGGTGGGGGTGGAAGAGGTCCGGAGCGACCAGAGCCCGGCAAGCTTGGTGGCGAAGGAGATGCTAGAGATAGGTTCCTTTGAGGAAGTCGTGGCATTTCATCGTTTCCACCGGCTGTGGGTGGAACCGGAGGCGGGCCTGGCCTACTTGGGGGAGGGGGAGGAGGAGCCTGTGAGACAAACGAAGGTCGAGGTGTGGAAGGTACAGGAGGCTTGCTGTTCTGAGGCGGTGGAGGCGGCAAGGAAGGTTCTCTGTTGAGTGGCGGCCTGTTTGTCGCTGGAGGTGGTGGCGGAGGGGGCTTATCTTCTGCTGCCCGGCCTGGTGCGGGAGGAAGAGGTGGCCGGTTTGAAAAGGGATAAGAACTACCTGGTGGTGACTGGCGAACACTTCCTCCGAATCCTACGTTTCTGTTTCCTGGGAAAGGTGATGGCGTAAGCCCTAAGCTGGCTTGCCTGGATGTTGCTGGCACCGGAGGGGGTCCTCTGTTGTACAGATTTGAAAGACTAGACGGGACCGGTCTTGGTGTATTTGGAACAGGAGGGGCGCCCGTGTCGGGCTTAGAACCAGCATCGGGTCTTGGGGGCGGCATTCGGTTTCTCTGTGGCTCTGGCATTGCAGTTCTTTGCCCAAGAGAAGGCCCCGGAAACCTCCCTACACCACCTGAGGGTGAAAAGGGCTTTGCCGACGTCACTCTTCCTCCCGGTGGAAAAACCGGACCTCTGCCTCCTGGAGAGTCTGAAAATGGAAAGAAGATGGTTCATCACAGCCCCCGGGGGGGGGGGGGGGGGAATGACACCGAAACAGCTATTAGTAATGAACAGGGAACTATTGTGGATGCTTGTGGAATTGTACAAACATCTGTGTCAATTGAAGCAACCCAAGAAGGTCTGGAGATGACTTTAGAAAACCCACAAAAGGGTGATCAGCTAGGATTTTCAGTGTGTGCTCACAATGTATTCTCCGTTGTCTTCCATGCTATCTTCTCTGCTGCTTTTTCCCCATCACACACAACTTCATACGCTATTACTTAGTCGTTAACCTGCTGCAAGAACAGGTAGGGACTTACACAGCAGGGAGGATTTGGTGTCTGTCATTACAGAAAGAGGAAGTCTGTCAGAGAAGCTCTGGCCTGTTAAATGCTATGAGATTAAGAGGGGATCCACAAATAGCCTGTGACACAACAGATAATACCAGCTCTGAAAGACTTTGTTGCATCAACACAGGATGAAAAGATCCCCTCACGTGTTTTAATTCCACCCCTAAGTTCAAGTTCTTGTAGTGGATGTCACCAACCAGGAACACCCCAGTCTGCCCTGAATTACAGAGAAATCTTAAACAGAGTTACACCCTTCTTGATGTCAATTGGCTGAGAAGGATGTAGCTCTTCTTAGGCAGTTTGGCCTGTTCTATGGCCCATAAATGATGCTGGGAATCACAAGCAGCTCATTCTGTGGCTAAACAGGTACATCAGTGCTTCGGACAGACATATTTGATGCCAGTAGGGCCCCCCCAGTTGTACATAAGGAACACGTGTTCCCATTAACATCTCACGGTACTCACTGTGAGAATTTGCACACTTTTTCTGATCCATACAAAACCAATATGGATTGGAGTAGCAATCTATTTGTTGGACTCCCATCAGGGGAACCTGGGTTCACATCCCTACACAGGGCCAACATTACTTTTTCTAACACAACAGCTCCAGAACAGGGCAAATAACAACCCCCAGACCATTTTGACTCAGGAAAGGAGTGCCGGGGGGGGGGGCAGGGGCAGAGAAGAAGCCCTCTTCCCACCACGCTGCAGTCCTGAGCCAAATCGGGCTCCTGCTTTTAAAAAGCAGTTCTTTGCTGCTGCTGTAGGACTGCAGGAAAAGTGAGACAGGGAGTCCAGACCCAGTTTGTTAAGAAACATAACGCTGTCGTATTGTGCAGTAGTGGTGTAGATCATTATCACACTAGTAATGTGCTACTTCAGAGGACGGCGGAAGACCGGAAGGCCTGGCGTGATCTGGTCCATGCGGTCACGAAGAGTCGGACTCGACTGTGCGACTGAACAACAACAACAAATGTGCTACACTGGACGTGTAATACTATACAGCATACCAGCACTGTATAGTGTTAAGAGTGTCGGACTAGGATCCAGGGGACCCACGTTAAAATTCCTACCCCGCTGGGTGACCGTGGGGGGCCAGTTATGTACTCAGCCTAAGCAGCCTCACAGGGTGGTTGTGAGGATATAAAAACAGAGGAAAGAAGAGTGATATAAGCCATTTGGGAGAAATGTAGGGTATAGCGCTAACCGACAGCGCTAAGCGGAACAGATGGCAGCACTGAGTGGATATAACAGCATTATACGCCATCTTTATGGAAGATCAATTTGGAACATCCAGAGCACTTAATAATAATAATGTCGTAATACTGTAGAATTTGCTTTCAATGGTTTTAAATGTGTTTTATGCACTGGCTTATGCCTGATTGTGAGCCGCCCTGAGCCCGCGTTGCGGGGAGGGAGGGCTATAAATTGAACTTATAAATATAAATAAATGAAGTAACTAAATAAATCATGTATAGTTTGGTGCTCAGCACTGTAGGTTACTGGCAGGGGGGGGCTTTGGACCAATGTCTGGATCATTTTTAAGATCAAGCGTGATAATCTTAGGTCTGACCTACTGAGCTCCATGAAAAACAGGCTACAATTTTCTTGACAGCAAAATGAGAGCTGGTGGAGGAATGGAGGGGAGGGGAACAGAACACAGTATTTCAGCAAGAGACAACTCAAAATGGCGATCTGCTGACGACATTTTGATCCTGCTCCTCCTCACAGGAATTCAGGGCGATCCTCTTCTCTTCCCTTCCCTCCCCATGGAAGGGAAAGTTAGAAAAGAGAACACCTTCAAAGCCAAACAGAGCTCAGGCTTGGTATCTCCGAATCCCACACAAGAACGGCATAAACACTGAGCTGCTGACTACCGGTCTGCTGTGCTCACCTGAGGAAACCTGCACAGATTTTTTTGGAGGCTCCGTAAAGCAGAGCTTTTCCAACTAGCCTGAGTGGAAACTGTGCTTTGCTTCCTTCTGTTAGTATTCATGTTGATGTGAGTTTGTCGTGTCTTTTAATTTGATGCAAGCCACTTCAAGTCCTACTGACTGGGGGGGAAAGTGGGATAGAAATATTTGAAATAAGTAAACTGAGAAGTGACGCCGCGTGTGGCTTCCTGGCTAATGCTACTGAGTTGCTTTCTTCCAAATAAATGTGAGAGACAGGAGATTGTAGGGTACTAATGGCTAGATTTCGGTGTACTAGCACCTTAGAGGCCAACAAGATTTGGGGGGTTAAAGTTTCGATAGTCAAAACTCCAGGATACCCCAGGCAAGCGCGATCTCATCAGATCTTGGAAGCTAAGCAGGGCTGACTCTGGCAAGTACTTGGAAGGAATACCAGGGCCGGGACACAGAGGCAGGCAATCAAGCCACCTTTCTGAAAACAGCCTAGCCCCACCAGAGGTCACCAGAAGTCACCATGACGTCACCATGACTTCCAGGCTCACAAGCACACACACACAAATACTAAAAAACACACTCCTTCTTGACAGCTTTTACCCCAAAACTCGAGTTGGTCTCTAGGGGCCTACTGGACTTGAATCTAGCTGTTCTAATGCAGATTCAAGTCCACCATTGGAAACTAGGGTACTAATGATGACGAACAGGGAAACAGTCCAGGGGCTTCAGAGCTAGAGGGCCTAGCGTGGGACCCACATGGTGGCAAGTAGAAGTCCCAGACCCAGCTCCCGCTCAGACATCATAATGGAACATATCTCCTGACACACTTAAGGAGTCAAGGAATAAACTATTGCCCTGCTACTGGCAAACAAAGACGGATTTGCATGAGGGGTGGCCTATTTTCTTATCTTAGTTCTTTGGCCCACAAGTGTATTGTTCCATCTCTCACAGAATATGTCTTGAACACACTCTCCTTACCATTATCCCTGTTGGCAGCAGACCTAAGCTTTGGCATCCCTGACTGGAACAGGCCTCCTAAACCAGGCGGCCCACCTCCACCGTAGCTACTGCCACCGCCGCCACCGCTGCCACCGCCGCCGCCACCACCGCTGCCGCTAAAGCCGCCGCCACCTCCTTTAGGCTCTGCAGTTACAGAAGAGAGGGAGGAAGACAATGAATGTTAACCAATGACAGAATACAACTCGTATGTTGCTCGTACACACTTTTAATTGTTATGGCCAGCCTTGTTCAAAAAGAGTCACCTGACTTAAAATAAACAAGCAGTATTGCGGTCTTTGCATATGTGGATTCAGAACCCTAAGGACAACATTCCCAACGTCAAGGCTTCCCAGTCAGTAATGTAGGAATTCTTCTGCATTTCTAGCCCATTAAGCGATAGTCAAGTGTACTTACTCTCAATAACTGGGGCACTTCTGTCATTGGTAACAGCCTTTTTGAGTTTTTTCCCTTTGTTAATATCGGACAGAAGAGCACTTCTCCCTGCTTGCTCTGACCTGTTTAAAGAAGGCTTCTCTGTGTTGGCCTGCAAAATAACAAAACTAAAAGGTTAGACACAACCGGAATAAAAGCATTTAAATCCCAAAATATCTTTAACCGATGACATAAGGAATTGGTTCCCCCATTACCTATTAGCAACAAAGTCAACTGCAGTTTTTCTGCCAACATGAAGTTCTGAGCAGTCCAATAAATGTTCGGGATGAATTTCTGCATGAATGCACTTCTCCGTACATTACAACAGATAACATGCCATCGTACCTATTGTTTTGAGGGTTTTCCCTTGCACCCGGAGGGAGCGTAGTTACTTCAAAACTCACAAAGATCATTACAACATTACACATCGAACGTAGTTCTAGCCTTAACAAGCACAGACTACAACTTCAGGCAGTGCAAGATTCTTGATAGCTCTTTTTTGCAATTCCTGGTGTTTGATTTATTTGATGTTCACTACCCATCACAGGCTGCAAAAAAACCTTAAAACAAGATGAATTCATACCAGGCACCCAGCAAAAGCTTTGAAACTCTCATTCCTGAACTACCTACCACCTTGTGTGGCAAGTTGTTTTCCATACTTATGATTCCTCCTTATGGCTGCCATAGAAAAATCACTGCTGAGGAAGTAAAGCCTTGGTCCACATGCCTAAAGGACTTTCCTGGATTGTGACCTTAACGCTCTTTCCAAAAGATAGTTGTGTAATATGCAACTGTTAACTGGATGTGGAGACACCAGATATTTCTCTTCTGCTTATTTTTTTTTTAAATTTAATTTTATTGATTTCTATCCCGCCCATTCTGGCCTAGGTTGGCTCAGGGCGGCTCACAACAGCATAAAAATTTCCATAATACATAAAACACTGTTCATCATTATTTCCCAACGGCCTCACCAGCCAACCATTATAGATTCTAATAGCTGTGTGTCATGGATATAGCCAGAAATATAGGGGAACAGTCACTGGTCTTGACCAAAAAGATAATGGAAGATGTTTCTGCATGCCAGAGACAGAGCTGGCCTAGCATCTCAGCTAACATGCCAGCTAAACATGCAGGGGCCTTTGAGACTGCCTCTTCCCCCATGAGCCCCATGGGACACTACGATCTGTGAACCAGCATCTTCTGGTAGTCCCTGGTCCCAGGGATGTCCGTCTTGCCTCGACTAGGGCCAGGGCTTTCTCGGCCCTGGCCCCTACCTGGTGGAATGAGCTCCCATATGAGATAAATTCCGCAGGGCCTGCAAGATGGAGCTCTCCCGCCAGGCCTCCAGCTGAGGTGGTGGGTGTCCACACCTTATTGAACCTCACCTCCGGTGACCCAGATCTGAGTAACCATCTGGAACCCCAACTTGTGTTGGACCTCATCTATTGAGGCTCTGGTTGGGAGTATCGGAAGTAAACTTTGTATTTAATCTTGCTGTATTTTAATTGGTTTTGACTGTTATTTGTATACCTACATGATTGTTGATTTTATATGACAGAACCTGCCCTGAGCCTGCTATGTGAGGATAATGCAGAGAGCTGTGTTTCTCGAAAGCTTATGCTACAATGAAGTTTATTAATCTTAAAGGTGCTACTGGGCTTTTTACAGTTTTGCAGCAACAGACTAAAATGGCTGGATCGACCTCACATGGTGGCTGTGAAGATAAAATGTGGAAAGGGAAACTGTGTGCGCTACCCTGAGCTGTTTGGAGGAAGGGCGGGATATAAATATTTTTTGAAAAATAAAAAAGTAGAAGAAAATCTAGAACGGAAATCTCCCGCATGATTGTGCTTAAGGGGGGAAAATGTGCTTACTTAGTGGAATCTTGAACACGCATGAGTCAAGTTTTGAACATCTGGGAAAATTTAAGCTGCTTCATGTTTTTCCCCCCCCCCCCCTTTCACATATATAATTGAACTACAAACTTTTTTTTTTTTTTTAAAGGGCAAGCCACAGCAAACTTTAAATGTGGGCTGCAGGACGCTGTGAAACTAGGGAGACTCTGCACTGTTTGCAGTGGCAAATCAAAATTCTTCTTCAAGTGGTTTTAATAAAAATGTTGTCATCAACTGTTTTATTCCCTTACAAATATACCCAGGACATCCTGTTTTTCGGACAGTGGAAGTATAAGAAAAGGAGTCTATGTAAGCAAACTGTGTTTTTTTTTCTAAAAGAGCAGGCAATTCAAAGCCAACTGTTTGGCAGCCCTTGCATTTCACTGCTCCCAAAAGATGTTGATTTCTATTTCCAGGATGAATGCCATCAGTGCCAGCTCAGGCCGCTTTGCCACATGAGGTGGCAGCCCTAGTTGACATTGCCGCAACCCTCTCCCCATGATTCTCTGCTGCTGTTGCTCTTCCCAAAATCTACAGGAAACAGACTCACCTCCTCCCCAGACCCCTGGTGCTTCCATTGCAACTTAAAAGCCATATTGGGGGGGGGGCATTTAGCACTGAGACCCTGATGTCACTTCTGGTGCAAACCAGCATGATGCTCTAGGATTCACTCCATACTCTATGATTTTACCATAGAGTTTTGGGTGAATCCTAGAGCACTGCGCCTATCTGGTGACATCACATCCAGGTATTTTTTATGTAATTTATATCCCACTCTCCCTGCCAGAGCAGGCTCAGGGCGCCCTAGGTGAGCAGCTAGCTCGCCTAGCGGGTGAGCCGGCCCTGGCTACAGCTATTCTTGAGGCCATGCCATCCACTGCGTGTTTTCTAATTGAAATTCTTCTCTGCATCATGAGCCGGTGACTGCATCATTCTAAAGAGAGTTGTACTTTAAAGGATGACTATCAGGTCACCATTCAACTGGTGCAGATGTCATTTATGCACAGTGGCAAAACCATTTGTTATGTGTATTGTTTATCACTGTAAGTAGAACCGGATAAGAAGATGGAAGTCTCGAGTGTGATTTGTACAGCGTCACAGGTTATTTTGGTTATTTGTTTGCAAAACCTCCAGGTAGTGGCTGGAGCTCTCCCACTATTACAACTGATCTCCAGACGACAGAGATCAGATCACCTGGAGAAAATGGCTGCTTTGGAGGGTGGACTCTATGGCACTCTGCCCCACTGAAGTCCCTCCCCTCCCCAAACCCCGCCCTCCTCAGGCTCCACCCTTAAAATCTCCAGGTATTTCCCAACCCAGAGCTGGCAACCCTATGAAAGTCCCACCTCTAATACAACTTGACCAAAAACCCAACTATCGTTTTGATGGCCCTCTCCTGAGTCATACACAGTGTATCCCTGAGGTTTATGCATCACCATCTCATCATCATGTTGTTTAGTTGGTTTTTAGGTTTTAACTGAAATTTATATGGAACTGTTTTATATGTTTTTATTGGTACCTCATAACCCGCTCTGAGCCTGCCTTTGGAGGAAGACAGGATAAAAATCCCATAAATTAAAAAAAAAATTAAAATTTTAAAATCACTTTCTCTTTTAAAGATCCACATTAGGCTCTAGAGGCAGGGGATGTAGACCCATTGGGGGGGGGGGTAACGATTCCTTTCCTTCAATCGTCTTCTCTCATTAAATAACCTGTGGCTGAAGGGACTCTCAAACATGTCACTGGACCCCCCAAAAAACAATTTCCTTCAGGGGGCTTTAATATCCATGCCAATTTCATGCTGAATAGCCAAGCTTAGGACCTCGCGGTTGCCATGATAACTATGGATCTGTCTCAGGTTGTGATGCGCATGAACTAGTTCTTGCTTTCTGTACCAAGGAAGTAGCTGGTGATATGAGGGGGGACTGGAGATTCCCTTATGAAAATTCTTCGCCTCTTCCTGTGAGAGCGTCTTTGAGCAAGTGATTTGGCTACTGCATAGATTAGTTGGCTCTGGAGCCACCCTTCTTGAGCTAAGACAAAAATGTGTGAACCAGAGGCTAAAAAACTGTGAGCTTGCTCACACTAACTCAGCTTAGAGGGGACACTGGAAATACCAACTCTTCTTCTTCTTCTTCTTCCTACGGAGAAAGTGATGAAGCATGTGGCAACAGAACTAGTACAGGGATCCTTGGATAACCCATCTGTATTCAGCCCATTTCAGCCTGGCTTTACTCCTGATTTTTGGGATCAAGGAAGTATTAATCGCACTAGAGGGCGATGTGTTTACAACCTTTTAGTCCAGTGGCACCTTTAAGATCAACAAAATTTAATTCTGGGTGTAAGCTTTCAAAAGCTTATACCCAGAATTAAACTTTGTTGGTCTTAAAGGTGCCACTGGACTAAAACTTTGTTCTGTTGCTTCAGAACAAGATGGCTACCTGCCTGAATCAGTTTACAACCTGACAGGGGCCATTCATTGCTGTTGGTTTTGTTAGAACTGTCAGCAGCCTTAGACAAAGCAGACCACTCCATTGTTATATATTGTTTTGGCACATGGGAGGAGGCATTATGGACCTCTGTTTTGGTACAGATGGTTGTGAAGACAGAGTTGGCTGTTCGGGGCCCGCCCTGCAGATTGCCAATGGTTAGGCTATCAGAGTTCCAATCTCTGTTCTGCCATGAAACTCACTGGGTGACTTCCGGCTAGTCACTAGCCTAAATAAACTCACAGGACTGTTGTGAAGATAAAGAAACTAGAACTCCAAGCTCCTTAGAGCAGTGGTTCTCAACCTTCCTAATGCCGCGATCCTTTAATACAGTTCCTCATGTTGTGGTGACCCCCAACCATAAAATTATTTTTGCTGCTACTTCATAACTGTAATTTTGCTACTGTTATGAATCGTAATGTAAATATCTGATATGCAGTATGTATTTTCATTGTTGCAAATTGAACATAATTAAAGCATAGTGATTAATCACAAAAACAATTTGTGTTTTCCGATGGTCTTAGGCGACCCCTGTGAAAGGGCCGTTCGACCCCCAAAGGGGTCGCGACCCACAGGTTGAGAACCACTGCCGTAGAGGAAGATAGAGCATGAGCATACACCAGCCTGGACAGGGCTCAGTTTCATTACCCCTGATCTTAGGCAGCTGAATGAGATCATCCAGAGCTTCGGGGTTGGGTGTCAACAGGCTGATGACAATCAGTTCCATA